TTCACAAAATTGCACTTTAACAAGGAAATAAAAAGGTTATATTGAAAGTGTTATTTTGGAAGACACGAACTTTATGAAATGTAAAGCAAATAAAACACAGGTAGACGTTCATAATTGTCTTAAGGTGTTCTGATAATCTTGAAACTGTAGACAAAAGTTTTAAGAGGAATTCAGTTATTATAATTCTAAGTTAATCGAAATACATCCTATAACAATTGTATTTTAGGGATTCAGATATGTTTGCCTCCGTTGTGAGCTCTGTGCGAGTACAATATACATGTAGCTACGGCACAAAATAAGATAAAATAACCAAGCTAATATTCATAACATTTTGCAATACCATGCTGATAAGAATGGCTTACTTATTATCAAAGCTACCTCTGCAATACTCGGCTCTAAACACTTCGTAAAAAATAAGTTATGAAATGAATACTAATATGTACTCATAATCACAATTAAGCATTTATTGTGCACATGCTATCCGATTGATTATCAATCTAAATAGCTATTTAAGATCTAAGCGTTTTAGAAATTCTATAAAAATGCTAACGGTTTTTAACGTATGCATATTTTTATGCAAGGTATTTTTTATGACTTATGTTGATGAATCATGACATAAATGCAACTGATAAACTAATCAAGAAAAACTTTCAAGACTATAATTGAGCATTTTAACATACATGTACATTTGTAATTTAAATGAAAACTTTTGTATAGCCCTGTATATTTTAATTAAACATGTTTTTATTAGTATGTTTCCTACATTGAGCGAGTCCTCCCTATAACATAATTTAATAGACATATTGGTTCATGCAACATAGAAAATAGATATTGCGTAAAATTGTGTATGTTTAATGAATGGGATAATATGATAAATAAAGAAGTGTATATGTCAACTCTCTGTGACACCTCATAAATAGCATATCACACGTGAAGTGTGGTATTAATTGTGAATATGTTGTATACAATGTTTATCACTCTTAAAACTATATTTTATATATTTTCTTCAATATTTCTTTATCAAACTAATTTTTTAAGGCTTTGAGATCGGTTGTTGCTAACTTAATTTTATACATATATTACATTTTAAATAGAGTAAACACAAATCAAAATCCTTTTTAAACAGTTTAAATTGAGCTAAATAATTGTTATCAGAAACAATTTATTTACCTGTTTCATTCGTTATTATCTTTATTGGTTCTCAAATATTTCTCCATTATAAACATCTTTTCAATGTATACGAAACTGAAATATCGAATAACTTACACTAATGGTTATCGCATATTTGAAAGACACTTCAAATATGATAGACATTTATATTTGTCTTCATGTGCTCTCAGTTAACGAAGTGTTAGCATCGTCTGTCTCGTTAAATAAATTCATAATCATCATCATCATCATCATTTATATCATCATCATCATAATCATCATCATTATTATTTTTATTATATTTATTATTATTATTATTATTATCCATGTGTGATTTTATCTTTATCTGAGAGCTATGTTCTTAAGTTGTGCATAACAGACCTGCATTTTACTAAATTCATCTGTTGACTTGAATACATATATTGACTTGAATACAACTGTTGAATTGAATACATCTGTTGACTTGAATACAATTATCGACATGAATACATTTGTTGTCTTGAATACAACAGTTGAAATTGAATACAGATGTTGACTTGAATACAGATGTTGACTTGAATACTGATGTTGACTTGAATATAGCTTTTGACTTGAATACATTTGTTGTCTTGAATACAACAGTTGAATTGAATACAGATGTTGACTTGAATACTGATGTTGACTTGAATATAGCTTTTGACTTGAATACAGCAGTTAATTTGAATACAGCCATTGACTTGAATACATCAATTATTGACTTACTACAGTTGTTGACTTGGATATAACTGTTGACCTGAATACGTTTGTTTACTTCAATACAGCTGTTGACTTGAATACATTAATTGACTTCAATACAACTTAAATTGACCAAATACAATTGTTGACTTGAATACAGCTATTGTCTTGAATACAACTATTGACTTTAATACGGATGTTGACTTAAATTTAGCGTCTGGCTTCATTACAGCTGTTCTTTTAATTGACATAGATAGGACCGTTACTTATGGGTTCAATACGGTTTGTGTCTTTTAAGAAAGCTGACACACTACTTTTGACAGAGAGGTGGCCCAGAGATGTGGCTTTTATTTATCTCGTGCACACGAGATACTATGTCGTGGCCACGAGTTACTAAGTCGTGGCCACGAGATAATTAAGTGTTGCGCACAATGTTACCTTTGTCCCACCGTACCTTTGTGCCACCGTAGTTTTGACATAGAGCCGTTAATTCTGATGTCAATAAAACTTTTGTCTTAAAGAAGGCAGACACAATACAACTTTTGACATTAAAACCGATTTTGGCTTTAAAACAAGTGTAAAACTCAAATTAAGATTATTATTTTAATATAGCTTTGGACTTTAATACAGCTGTTGACATGAATAAAGATGTCAACTTTTGCGGTTGTTGAATTTGATAGAGATGTTGACTTTAATACAAATGCTCACTTTATGTAGCTATACGCTTTAATAAAGTTTTTGACTTTAGTACAGGTATTAAATTTTATTTTGGCTGATTTAATAACAACTGTTGACAACAGCTGTTATTTTAAATTTTAATAAAGCTTTTAATTTTGTCAATTCTGATTTGGTTACATTTAAACATTTTACTTTTACTGGAAAGGAAAAAAGGAGGTATATACGTTTGGTGAAAAACTTTAATTATAAGATGTAAGGAAAGAAAGAAAAATATATACAATGCAGTAAAATGTTTGATTTAGACCACAGTGACTTTTAAGTGTATATTTTGGAAGTTCGTTAATGACCCATATAAACGCATGTCTAAATTACGTAATACTAATAAATGATGGATATCATTCTTCAACGTATTTGCTGAATATCCAAGATAGATGTCAGGAAATACCTGCCCCATCCTATATTTCATCTTTCTGCACACAGATGCAGGGCCTTTTTTTGCAAACAGAAATGTAAATAAAATTAATAAAGCCTATTATTGGTAATTGAAACTTACTCCCGGAAGCAAAATATTTTTGTTAAAAACAATATGGTAAAATTAATTCAAAATGAAAGTAGTCTTCCAAATTTCAGAGAATTTGTGATAAAGCTATTTTAATCGAATTTCATGGATTGGAAACAATGAAAATATAACTGGTTTAAGTTATTGATTATCGTTATCTAAAATCTTATTGGAGATAAAAAAAATTACAGCTAGGTAGAGGATAGCTGTTTTGATTATCTAATATTAATGCTTGAATAGTTCAGATTTTATTTGTATCTGTGTGAGATATAGGTAACATTCATGTTGTATTAAACTAAACTTTACTATATTGTTTTGAAATACTTTCTAACAATTGGCATGAAAGGCATGAATGACGTTTATTTATCATTAAGGAACGTCATTAATTTCTTAAAAATAAACCTGTTAATTGTTACTTCAGTTGATTTCAGTTATTCTCCAAGTAGCCTAGTTACAACTATAATGGCAAATAGACCATGGACAATGTTTCTTTCTCAATTTAATTGACATGAAGATGATATACTTTTACCAACCCCATGTAAGCTGAATTCCATTCTTGTCAACGATAATTCCAAAAATGTTGATAGTTTACTGTTACCTAACAATAAATCATGTGTATTGACAATGATTTTTATAGGTTTATTACAAAACATATAATGATTAAACAATAAACGCTTTTCATCATTTCATACAGCGACAGAAAAATATGTACGGTCAAATATTGAGTACATTGACAACTTTTAAAATGCCTGTGAGTTCCTGCTGATTTCATTGATATAGTTTATCAATGTTATGTTAAAGTACTCATCCGAAATAATAACAATTCATCAATAAAAATAAAACCGCCTCCGTGGTCGAGGGGTTATAGTCGATGACTTCTAATCAAGTTACCTCTCTGGCGTGGGTTCGATCCCCGGGAGATGCTTTGGTAGTTTAGCGCGGAGGAAGGTAGTCTAGTACTGGTGTAACTCTCCAGGAACAATGGTTAGGAAACTACCCGCCTATATGACTGAAATACTGTTGGGAAAAGGCGTAAAATGAAACAAACAAACAAACAAACAAACAAAACAATAAAAATAAATCGAATATACAGATGTTTGCGGCGACCTAGTGATTAACGTGTCTTCCTCTCAACCAAGGAATCGTGGGTTCGAATCCCAATAGGGACTTTCATAATAATGTAGCTTCAAAAACAAAAAGCCTCAACATCATTCAACGAACTTACAGAACAGTCATTGTATGTTTAATCTGAAACAGTACTGTCAATGGTTACGTACTTTGAGATAATTTTACTTTATCATAATATCTAGAGGATGTGTTTTAGATTGTATTCTGGTTATATAAAATAAACACCCAATGTTTCCAGCGCTTTAATATTTTGTTGCTATTGCTGGGACAGGTGATAATTCTGATGTACATGTAATTATAATTTGAGGATGTCAAGACATAAAATTGTGAACACCTTTCTTAAAGCATATGCACTACATCAACTATTTGCAACTACTTTTAAAAGGGACTCCACTTGGGTTTAGACATAACGTGACTGAAAGTATTTTTTGAGATTTTTATTCTATTTAATATAGGTCTTTACTTTCAATAACGTGTGTGCAAAATTCAGACCATTTGCTTACTCTTTTTTTATCGAGAATAATAATTATTATTGTACAAAATGTCCATAAAAATAGAAAGCATTTTAACGCCTTTAATTCAAAACTTATTAACACCAGTTTTAAATATCGATTACAATGCAATCGTGACAATTTAAAGTTAAAGATATTTCTTTATTTTCCTTTTAATATCCTTTCTGGTTTTACTTCTTTCCACTGATCTATGTTTTTAGGATTTTGGACCTGATTGAGTTCCTTTAAGTTGAATGTAAAGTTAAATGTTTCTGTTTCAGATTCATTAAAGAAAGCACCTCTAAGACCAATAAACGACCTTCATCTGATGAAATAATGCGCGCGTATGTAGAACGGCATCTGTTTGTCTGTTTTGAACAATGGCATTTTTAGATCAAGGCTAACTATATTTAACACTATTGTTAATACAATTTATATTTGGCAAACATGGGAAATAGTTATTCTGGGAATTCTGGATGGACATTTGTTGGACGTGAGGAAGACATTGAAAATGTTAAAAAACTCTTGCCAGTGAAAACGTCAATCCTAATTTTTGGATTGCCAAAAATCGGAAAGACGAAATTTATTGAACAAATATATACACAATTAAAAGACAATAAAAAATGTATTTGGAAGGATTTTGAGTTTAATGATATCGACGACGGAGACAACGTGTATGAATGGTTCATTGAATTTCTCACGGAAATTGATGCTGTTAAAGAAAATTCTGAAAAATTTGAAAAGAATTTTTCATCTAAATTTAACGTATGTGGCACTTGTGACGAATGCAAAAATCCTGGGCCAGACTTATGTTTGCAAAAGGACAAAATGATAAAGAAAGCAATAAATGCTATTATCGCTAAATTGAAAAAAGATGGGACAGAAATTTTATTATTTTTAGACAGTGTTGACAAAGTTATGAATAGCTCATTGAAAGACAATTTCCTGCATTTTCTACAACAATCAGTGAACCAGACAAAGTTACGCACAGTGATTGCGTCAGGCATCAAACCAAAACTTACAGCGAAAGTTTTTGAATTATACGAACTAAAACCTTGAATGATGAAGATATTCGCAAAATACTTTATGAAACATGCGAGTCTAGAAAACTGTGTCCAGATAACGATGAGGAAGCTTTACTCAAGGTAAAATATTCATCTGAATGTTTGGTTTTTAAGCCGGAGAACAAACCGTATATAGGCGCCATTGTGAAATTGTGTGAAGGGCTTCCATTGGCAGCAATTATGTCAGGTAATCACATTCTTTTACATGCAAGCATTTTTTTCAATCAAGCATATAAAGTTCTATTCTTTCAATTGATAAAGAACACCGTTGTTTAAATTATGTATGGCCGGATGAAATTGTGAAATAAGGCATCAAATAATGACTGTTTAATGATTATCATTGACAATATATGCTGTGTTTGAAAAAAAAGAAAGACTACAAATAAATGCTAAAGGCCATTAGTTCACTATCTTGAATTAGCTTTCATAAAATAAAATGCAATAATTCTAAACCATGTGCATACTGCAATGCTTCAATTCTTATTTATCTGTAAATTCACATCTCACAAACTTTAACTCGACGTGTTCGAAAATATTCAAAGATTATTAAAATGGTAAATAAAATAAAATTATTATAAAGTTATTGCGTAAATTTGTAAAGATCAGGTCTTTTGAAAGCTATGGAATAATTAATAATGTAATTTAAACAAACCGACTCAATCTCATGTTTGAAATCTTCTGCTTTGCATAGAAATCTCTCTTTTGTTCAGATTCTGGTGAACTTTATGCGTTTTATATACTTCAGGAATGTTGTTGTCAGAGGATGAAGGATTGTTAACACCAGGAGATTTAGTTGAATTTCTTATATGTATGCGGCTGACTGGTCTCAGCCCGGATAGTTACCCTCCGGAAGATAGACTAGGTATGAAATATCACAAATAAAGTTTGTTTATATTAACAGTATAATAATTTCGTTTTCAGAATATACGATTGTATATATATCCTCTTGTAAGGATTGTTAGACAGAAATATTTTCTTATTCAATTCTACTTCCTCATTTTAAATTTATTTAAGAAACTATACAAAATAAGACCATTTTCGAAAGTACAAAAGTCGATCGTAAGATTATTGAATTATGAAATTCAATGAACAAATTAAACGATATAAAGCCAATAATACCATGCTTTTGTAGATATTTATAAACGTTCGATGGAAGAAGTGAAAGGTGTGGCATCATTCTTCAATTCTTTGAATGAGGGACTCGACGGCACAACATTTAGTGAAGAAACGGCGGTTTCTGTGGCAATTAATTCTCAAGAAGGAATTGGTATGCAAATATGAAATATTCTGAAAGTCTTTGATATGAATGGTTTAATGGCAATCTGTTTTAGATATTCAAAATGGAAAGAAAACAATATAACTGTCTTTCTAAGCATGTGAATATATCTCCGCATATGGAAGTAAAATATGTCGACAATCGATTATGTTTTTATTTGTAAAATACACAAATTAATAATGTTGAACAAAATAATGAAATTTTGCTAGAGTATACTCCGAATCGAAGGGATATCATTTCTTTTTTCTATAATGTTTAATAAATTAATGATTTTTATTGTTTGTTTTTTTTTCAAATATAGATAAAAGGGGAGACGCAATAGTTAAGGTATTGCAGGGGAATGGTTTGAACAGGTCAATACTATCTATAGAGAAGCTTTCGGGACATAACCAGTTTACTTGGCATGGCATATTGCGAGAATGTCAAGCTGCCCTGCAAACTTTAAACACTTTACCTTCAGGTTGGCTTTAAATAGAACAATGCAAGTTGCAACTACAAAAGAAAACCTCAAGATTAAATATATAACTAACTTATATCGACACGTTTTTAATACTACATAATACATCATTATTAAATATAATCTAAGTTTAGTTATATTATTGCAACTATTAGATTTTATAATTATATATTTATTACTTTTTTATTTGAATAATAATGCATATATAAACAAATGATTAATAATATCAATAAACCAATTTAAAATGACTCCACTGAAGTTTTTTGACTTTATAGGACTGAAAATATTGTATTTCCAGATAAATGTACTATTTGATACTAATCTTTGTGCAAAATTTCAGATCATTCGCGCACTTCGTTTTTCCAGAAAACTATTCAAATCGTGAAAAAATGACTCAACATGAAAAACGTTTAAACGCTTTTAAACGCTTTTCACTCAAATCGGGCTAAGAAAAGCATAGAAATTTATTTCAAAGTATATTTCTTAACTATCTTTGCATATATTGTTGTTTAAAGTGCCACCGCTCATTTATGTAAGAAATTCAAATGTCATGTTTTTAGGCTTTTAAACCTCAGTGGAGTCCCTTTAATATAGAATATATTTTCAAAACAAACGCTTACTGATACTGTCAAAGTAAGGGTTAAGGTTTATAATAAAACATACCAAACTGTGGACTGTCTCCGTCATTGAATCAGTACATGTACTTAATATTTCCAACAGATGAGTCAGTATCAAAAGCGAAAGAAATGGTTCTCAAGTTTATGAAAGAAAACGTTATCAAGGCTGGTCTAGATTTTGGTGATGACATACTGCGGGATCCAAGGTCTCTAGAGCAGGCCATCAAAAGTCTCTCTATCCACAAACAAGGTGTTGAATTAGTAACCGGATGTGCTCTTTTTATTTCTTACAACCCAAAATAATTCTATCGATGAAAACCATTGATTTGAATAGAAATTACTCAAATGCTTGTGGACATTGATTTTCTGTTTATTAATAATTATGCAAATTGAAATACTACTACAAAGTAGTAACAACTTTCTTTCCTTTGAGTTATTGCAAGTACTTATTTAGGTTATAATACAATGTACCAGCAAGTTATGTCAGTCTCAAATTTAAGAGAGATGTCAGACTACTTTTACCGTATTTTGGTTTATGAACATATTTTTAATGATTTTTAATTGGTGTGGGTATTATCAACTTTGAGTTGCTTTTTTAGTAACACCATTTGACATGTTGTCATCAGTGGTAGGGCATTATGATATATCGTGTATGAAAAACATGAACTTTTGAAATTAGAAGTTTTGTTACAGAAAGCATTAGTTAACAATCATTTTATGACAATGAAGCAATTACAAAAAGTATTTATTCATTATTTAACTCAAAATCAATGTTGGTATAATTTTCTGGTCCTTTGTGATCATTGATTCTAATAATCAAATATTAAAGGTTGGACGATGTTAAAGCTTTTACTGAGTATGTATGAAGGTTATTTTATTAATCGGGCCACAGGTATCTAAAATCCTCAAAAGGGGAGAACTCTTTGAGATGCAAAGCTCATATCTTACAAAATAATACATGGCTTCTGAAAAATTCTTATCACACTCCTTTTTAGAGCAAACACAAGACAAGGAGAAACGGCTGTCTCTCTCAGACGAACATAATGTGGCTATTAAGGTTTGTTGTATACTGAAAATGAGGTGGAAATTAAGACAATACTAGTCATGTGTGTTTTTAATTTAGTTATCGTTATTTGTATGACATTTTACTAACAAGGGATATAACTTAAGAAAATATATGTACAGGTAGTTCTGTTTCTGTTACATACTTCTATTGCATTTGTTTACATAATTCCGATGTGGCTGCCGTTTCTCTTTTCAAAGTAATTTGTCGTTTAGCTTTCCTGCATATTTTAGTTTAGCATTCATGCTATTGTATTGATGACATATTTTTCATTTGTTTTCATTTTACGACCTTTGTAGCATTACTGATTAAATTAATTGATGGCTCCTTTTAATAATTCAAGAAAACAAGATGTGAATTTTCGTTAGAGTTAATTTTTGTGTTTCGATATTTGCATAGAACTGAAAATCTGATCAAAGTTTATGTATTTTGAAGGAGCTTGTGGACGACCTTAAAAGTACAGTGATGAAAGACGTTAAAGACAAAGAATGTCATGAAGATTTAGAAACAAATCCAGACATGGATTCTAAATGTTCAAAGAAATTAGAATCTCGATATTCCATTGACGAGGATAATAAGTTAGACTTAGAACTGATACCCGTTTCTGACAGTAATGAACAAATTGCAGACGATCCTCCTCCCTATACAACTCTTCCAATGGAAACATCTGAAGCATCAAGTTTCAATGACGATAATATAATGAATAAATACTCATTTGAGCCTATTGATACTCCACCTCCGAGCTATCATTCGTCTACCGAAGATATCCCAAATAACGACATGCACCAGCATGATGATAATCGAAATAATCAGTTCCACATACCACATATTCGTACTGCCACAATGCGATCACATTCTTTGTCACAATCTCACAATGTAATTAAAGATCTCCAACTTAAACAACGTGAAAGAGAGGATACACAGCAAGTTACAGATATCCGGCAATTAAGTTATGGTGTACGTCGCACCAAGTCAGATCCTACTAGTGATCGTACTAGGAAAGAGATTGGCATATCAGTGACAGGTCCTCCAGATTGGAAATATAGTCCACCAAAAGTTGACAATAATCCGCTGTTTAACTAACATAATACTAAAACTGGACTATTTGGCAGTCATACTTCAGAGGTAACATCAACAAATGCGGATGAGCAGATAAAATATCTCAAAGAACATCAAGAACTTACAACGCCAGATGAAGTAAGTGCTGGGATTTATGGCGATTCAACTGTAGGACCAGTGGCTATATCTTATAGGGTCAACACTGTAAATGATCACAAATTTGATCAGGGACATCGTCAAGATGAAAATGCATCTTTAGCTGAAACATTTGATGAGCATGATCAAATGTCTGTTGATGGTGACATTTCACAGAATGTAAGTCATGAAAATGAAAACAGACTGTTTGTAGGTCAAAGCAAGACTGTAACACAAAGACTTTCTCCTACAGCAATAGTTAAACCTATGCCTAGAAGAAATTCTCCTCCAAACATCAGTAAACAAACCCAGTCTGATAGACCAGTTCAGAGCGTGCCACCATTCAGATGAATATGCAGGGATCCATGTACATCAATTGTCAATTTGCTGTGAAAATTGATAACCATTGACTTAAAATCGTATACTTAAAAACATCCCTCTTTCTGTGTTTCTATATTATTATTAACTGCCATACTTTGTGTGTTATTTTTATACTTTGAATACAATATTTTAATAGAGTAACATGTACATGTACAAGTATTGTCAGTATTATGTAAGTTTTGACGAAACAAGTCATCTTTTGGTTTCAGTAGTGCGTCAGGTAGAAAAAATGTAATCAAGGATATATACGCATGATTAAAGGGTGTGTCTTTCTGGTCTTTCCTGAGTAATCAATTAGTATAGGAAGTAAGCTCATTTTATACAAAAAATGTAAATTGCCTGGAAGTCGAGTGATCACAGTGAGTTTGAGATGCGGAAATGTTATCATGTAAACTCTTTAAAATATGTTGTTATATGTTATGCTGTAAAGTTAATGAAATTAAAAATTCAAACAACGCACTTTTACAGTATATTCCGATATTTTAAAAATTGCCATCATGTGTCATTTTAGCCAACACATTTGTTAAATATTATGGTGAATATAAAGAATACTTAGTTTTTAAGCATAGTTTTACATAGGCAAAATATTTTGTTTGTTGTTAGACATTGACAAGAAATTGTTCTGTCTCAATATTTACATTCTTCTCATAATTAGTTTAACTTTATACAAAATGTAAGTATTTTACATGACGTGATTTTAATTGACGGCATACGTCGTATATGAGGTCACATGACGTGTAAGCATTTCAAATAGCGTATATGAAAGCACTCGACTGCCCTGTTTGATAGTGGAACAAATGTAAATCTTATTAGAATTTTTTTATATTTATCCATTTCATGCCTAATCCATGGTGTATGTATAACATGACTATATGCAATATATCAGAATTGTAGAATTTTTCTTAAATATAATTTCGCTTACTACTTTTGTATGTGTTGGTATAAATGTTATATATACTCATACTAGAATCTCATGTAAATTATTTTGTATTCCTATTATTGCGAACCTAAGATGTGAGTGAATTATGATCATTTTTCGCATTGTTAGCAGGTAAACTTGGATGAAGTTGGATGAAGTTGAACTGAACGTTGCGATTTCACAGAAATTGCACTATAACAAACATAGGTTAGGCAGTATTGTATGACAAAATCTTATTCATTATTGTCACTATTATGACATTATGTAAATTTCTCATTTTCTTCTTGCCATTTAATGACAGTGTTCAATTGAAAGGCTTTTTTATTAGAAATATTTTTATGCATATCAAAATACTGAAGTAATTGTTTATGTGTTTCATTTTTCAAAAGTATTGCCATTAGCAACATATTTATTTGTACGTAGTATGTACATGACAATATCTGCAACCATAAAAACAACAACAAGAGAAAGAAATACAAATTGCAGAAAAATAGTTGATTGTTTTGACAACTTAAATAATATAAGAAAGATACACAATGCTCTTGAAATGTCTTTTTTTCTGCATCTCACAAATTCATTGTTCATAAATTTGTTTATATATATACTTTGCTTTTCGCTTTATTGATGCTGTAGCTTCAAAATAAGTTCATATTATTTTTATCATTATCTTTTCCAAAGATACTAGGATAAATGTCATAGAATGACATTATCTGCCCAGTCATTAAACAACTTATTTTAAGTTTTCTTCAGTAAATACTATCTGTACTTCCAGGGCGTTTATGGTCGAGTGGTTAAGGTCATTGAATTCAAACCACTTGCCCCTCACCAGACAGGGACTTTGCATTCTTTTCCTTGTGAGAGCTATCCATTTAGCTTACGGAGCATCGGTGGTTCTACTCAGGTGCCCTGAAGTAATACACGGAAGGCACCTGAGGTCTTCCTTCACCAGTAATCCTGGAAAGTCTGCATATTTTATATGAATAACCATAAATGTGTATAAATCGTTTTTGTCAAAGTTTATATCTTATTATATTGTGATAATTCCATTCAAAGTATACTTAACCTAAAAAATACTTTATTTCATATAACAAATTCTTGAAATTCAGCTACCCGATATATCTATTTCCTTCCATGTGGAGAAATATATTTCTACATTGTGACAAATGGAATTTACATTTTAAATTCATGCTTCTAGTAATTTCAAGTAATTTTAAAATTCTTTATTTTCTTTTTTTTTAAATATATTTTCATGTGTGGTCGAAATGTCTTATGATGAAAGATTAAAAGTAAAACAATGAAAGAAATTGATGTAAATCGTTGATTAATTTGTTTCAATTCCAAATTTGTTTGCCATTTAATTTGTCATGTTCAAGAATGTGAATTTATGTATATGATCTTATATGAGTTGCAGAAAAGTTGATTGTTTTGACAACTGAAATAATAATAGAACGATACAGATTTCTCTAGAACAGTTTTTTTCTGTATCTCAGAAATTCATTGATTGTTCATAAATACGTTCATATATTTACATATACTTTGCTTTTCGCTTTATTGATGCTGTTCATGTAGCTTCAAAATGAGTTGTCATTCTGTCTTAATTCATCTGAACAATTTTTTTATACCTTCATATTGCTGTACTTCCATGTCAATTTAAACATAAGGCTTAACAGAGTAATGTTGTATCTGATCTCAAAGAATTTTATTTCTTCATCTTAGCAGTGAATAAATTCATTAACCAAACATGGTCATATTCATATTTTTGATCATTATCTTTTCCATTAAAAATACTAGGATAAATGTCAGAGAATGACATTATCTGCCCGGTCATTAAACAACCTAATTTCAAGTTTTCTTCAGTAAGTACTATCTGTACTTCCAAGGTCATTGGATTCAAATCACTTGCTCCTCACCAGACAGGGACTTTGCATTCTCATCGGTAGTTCAACTCAGGTGCGCTGAAGTAGTTCACGGAAGGCACCTGAGGTCTTCCTTCACCAGTAACCCTGTAAAGTCACCATATGACCTATACTCTGTTGGTGCGACGTGTAACCTAACATAAAAATATGCACATCTTACATGAATAACCATAAACATCTATAAATCGTTTTTGACAAAGTTTGTATCCTATTATATTGTGTCCATTCTATTCAAAGTATACTTAACCTTAAAATTACCTTATTTCTTATTACAAATTACAAATTCTTGACATTCAGCTACCCAATATATCTATTTCCTTCCATGTGGAGAAATAATATTCTACATTGTGACAAATGAAATTTACATTTTGAATTCATGCTTCAAGTAAATTGACATTTTAAAATTCTATATTTTCTTTTTTTTTTAAATATATACATGTATTCATGTGTGGTATAAATGTATACTGATGAAAGATTCAAATTAAAACAATGAAAGAAATATATGTTAATCTTTGATTAATCTGTTTCAGTTTCAAATCTGTTTGCCATTTAATTTTTCATGTTCAAGAATGTTAACAAATTAAATGTCGATGCTGCACATCAAAGACGTCGCCAAATAATGCGAACAGTCACAGCTAATGTATAAAATCAGAATTGAAAATCGTTCTCTATTATAGCTGAATATCCGAAGCACTGAAATTTTTTTCTCCATGTTCTTGGTATGTGTCTGAAATTCTGAAATGTTTGTCAGTTGCGACAAAGATTGAAACGTCTGGTCGAAGCAAAATAAATTGGATAACAAGTGAAATTGAAATGATTGGTAAACTTAAAATAAACTCAAGACAATATGTGCCGAGAATATGTCCATTTAAATATTGGTGCGAATTGCATAATGTTCGAATGATTTTGAGGACGAACTGTCTGTTATTTTTGTCTATTATCTTTGTTATGTATTGTGTACATATCTATAAAAGATTAAACTACTTGAATAAACAAAAGATTGCAATTTCACCTAGAATCTAGGTATTGAAAATAAAAAATCTAGGCAAAAGAGAACAATGGTCGGTCACAGAATCCTTCAAAATAACCTATTGCAAATATTTGTGATACGTTTTAAAATAAACCTTTTCACTCAGTTTTATAACTTAAATGTTAATTATTCTAATGAATTACATGTCAAACACGTTTTGTCTGTTTTGCAAAAAATATTTCAGCTGCGTCCGTAGCGCGAAAATAATCTAGCTCCGTTGCGTATTTTAATGATACCTGTTGTTCTCTGCCCGTCATTAGACTATAGACGGGTCTGTGTTGAGCTAAGGGTTAACGGAGAACCGCCTCTCTGATAGTGGACGTGGTTTAGGCTTTGTAACTTGTAATTTAATAATTCGTGAAGTTATATTGATCATAATTTGTCCTGGTTCCCCTCCCCTCAAACGCCCGTCAACGAAGACTTAATGCTAGCATATTAAATTTGGCGACAAATTTAAGGCGGAGACGAACTTCAACAAGAGGCGGAGCAAATGGAGTGAGTGACACTGCTTCAGTCGTTACCCCTCTCTCAACATTTAAGTTTTAGAAACGGTCGACTATAGACTGGGCTCATTGCACGTTATTTATTAGGTAGATAAAATAGATAATTATAAAAAGAATATGATATTCAAACATGACACTACCACTTCAGTTTAACGGGTTTATTTTAATCCCTTAAAGCTCCGTTGTACATCAGAAAAGCTATTTGTATAAGAAAATTGGAAAACAATGTGATTTTGTTAAAAAAATGCACAAAATCAAGTCTAAATTTTCCCCATTGCAATACGGACAAATGCATATCTACTAGACGGCGCATGCACATCAGAAAAGCTATTTGTATAAGAAAATTGGAAAACAATGTGATTTTGTTAAAAAAATGCACAAAATCAAGTCTAAATTTTCCCCATTGCGCATGCACGCGCCGTCTAGTGAACTATGTAAATGATCTAATATGAGTTGTTGTTTCACAAACCTTTTCCCGAAATGACTTGTCCATCTTTCATTCTGGACATACTTATTCATCAGTTTATGGAAACAATTTAAAATATGTACTGTCCGAATAGCGAAAAGTGCTGGTCATTATCAGACGGCACAGATTTATCGGCTGATCTTTGTATGCGCTGGTTACATAGGAAAATCCTGTAGCCACCAGTAGGCTGCGTGTAAAATACATATACGAAATGACGTCAAAGTATTTTAAAGCTAAATATTATTTTGTTTAGTCATTTCTAAAGAACGTTATATGATGACACAAAGGAATTTACTTTTTTATATGATAAAAGATAGTATTTCTGAGTTTGCCTTAAATGAAAATGAAAAGTTATTGTTTTTTTCTTATACACGTTGAAGAGAGGTAATCTCTATATCATTTTGCAGTTTGTAGACATTAGAATTAACATCATAGCGGGGTAGTTCGGTTGGTTTGAATCCGTCCAATACTTCAATTATTTACGTGGGATAGCATTCCTGTTTGCTATAAAAGGTAATTGGATTATTTTTTTTCTTGTTGGGTAGTCCAAATAATACAAACTATTATGATGCTTATTTTTTGTCTTTTGATAATTGTCTACGATACACAGGCTTTATTATATCTGACCTTCTCTCCTATACTTTATTATTATGTCACCCAAACATTTGGGAGACACTTTGTATCCTTGTCTGTCCGTTTGTCTGTCTGTCCGTCTGCGTTAAGCATGACCGCCTTTCAAAGGTCGAATTGCTTACAGGATTTCAACCAAAACTTCACAGGAGTGATAACCACCTTCTATACTTGTGTGTCTATCGCCGGCACGTTCCGCTTCGCTGCACAATATGACCACTAGAGCTATAAATAGGAAAATCTAGTCTGGCATTTACAGGCGAAAGTGCTGGTGGGTTTTCGTTAAAACATTACAGGAGTAGAGAGGATAATTCCGAACAACCACGTGGCAAGATCTACGTCTTTCTATACTAGAACATTCTAATTTAGATGGGTGGGGAAGGGGTACATCTACATACTTTCATACATGTTTACATTTAAACACAAAATACAAAACTTGCATCGCTTATCTACGCCAGCAGTTTCCTTAGCATGTACGGCTAAATATATGACAAAATTTATAGGACTTACCTCGATGATATCTTTCGCTTTTAAAGATGGACAGGACGACCTTGGAATTGTTAACAACCGAAGCAACAATTATGTTCAAATATTTCGCGCCAAAAAACTTAAAAAAACGCAACCTTACTGTTATTTTTTCAACCGCATATATATTGTTCGGAATAGACATCGTTCGGCAAATGAACGACCCCACTCTAATCAGTACCATTTAAGATAAGAATGCAAAATTCAATTTTGCAAAGTTAGGCGTTCTTTGAAACTTATAACATGTATAATGTAAGCTTTACATTTTGTCGACATTTCAGCATTCAATATTTATTCGAAAGAATGTTTTTAGTACATCAGAGAGAGAATATATACCGAACATGATTTCATGGCGGAAGGTCAAAAAATATGACCACTTTATAGCAGATAGCAAAACTATTTCTGTCCACTCTATATTACTCATTCGAAATAAAATTAAACAACTGTGTTATAAAACATGTATTATGTATCTTATCTAATATTTGCTCAGGTTTTATAAAGAGATAAAATCAAAACGCATATAACTATTCAGGTATAAACAACGAACAGGGTCAATATTTACAGTTATAGTTTATCTGTATAACATAAAATTGTTCCATATGCATAAAGAGAAGTTATTTATATTAAATTTTCTCATTTTAATCGTTTACAAAAAATGGGAACAGGTATCAGTAAGTTTAGTGGTGATACTCTTGACATAAAGTTTGTAGGGCGTGATGACGAATTGAAAAGCGTAGGACTATTACTGAATCAACAGAAAACAGTAGGAATACACGGGATGAAAAAAATGGGAAAATCAGGATTTCTTGCTGAACTATATCGGAGTGAGCGCGATTCCGGAACTCTGTGTATTTTTAAAGATTTTGAAATGGATAATACCTTATCACCATGCCAACATTATAAATGGTTCCGTGATATGTTTACTCTATCTGGCTGTCATGAAGGATTAGCTGACTTCATCAGTAAATTTCCTGATGAAAGTATTGCTTGTGGTGCATGCACTTGTGTTCAAGGAAAGCTGTGTCTTCATAGAAGAGAATACATAGACAAAGAGATAAACTGCCTAACAGAAAACCTTAAATCTTGTAATAAAAAGATGATAATGTTCTTTGACAATATCGATAAGCTTATTGAATCAGATTTGAAAGAATCATTTTCACGTTTAATCGATGATATCGGCAAAAAATGTTCAAATGTAGAAGGTATTTTGGTCCAGCACATTTATCACGGGTTCACAAATCATTCGAAAAGAATTTGTCTTTGGGTCCACTAGAGAAAATAAGATATTTTGCAAATAATTTATGTCATGACTGAAACTCCGAATGAATCTGTGGGCGAATCTACCCAGGAGTGGGAACATAAAGAAGATCGTTGCTATAGTGAACAAGAAATATACGCTCATCTATTTGAAAAGGAAAATGAATACTTTACTCCAGAGAATATTGAATGTATGGAAGAAATAGCAAGCTTGTGTAACGGCCATCCTGCAGCTGCAATATTAGCAAGTATGATAATAAACTAATCAATTATCCATCCTACCTGACCATGGTTTTGTTAATTTATAGCTTTTTATTATCCCTCTTATCTGAACTAGACAGGAACAAGACATACATGTTTTTAAAAATGCAAATGAAAACATTATATTTTATGGTCGAAAAGATAATATATATTTTAGAATTAATGAATGAAAAGTCACAATTTTATCAAAAGATGGAGTATTAACAAAATAATATAATGATAATACATTTAAGGTTCATTACTCACAGAAGATTGTGGGCTTCTTACTCCCGCTGAACTGATAGAGATGATTAAAACAATAAGATCAAAAGTGCATCATCCTGGTGATAGTCTATTAACGGGTAATACCGGTAAGTAATAAGCAATGTGCGTCTTCAGTTATGACCCAGGATACTACTAATTAAAGCTTACTACCTTAAAACGACAAAGAGCGTAAAATAAAAGTGGTTGTAAATAGAAATTTGTCGGTTTTTTCCCGACAAATTGTTCCACGTTCATTCCATCTTTTTAAAGATAAGTGATATCTTCGGCATTTGCAATACTTAAGTCAATTCAGTCAATGTTATATCAGGAAGGACGCATACTAATGTTAATATTTTAACATTATTTAAGGAACAGCTTTGATCGTTACATGTGTTTGTCATTTTGTTTATTGCTTTTATGAACAAATTCAACCAAATTTGGAATTTATAGTCTATTTATTTTGTTTTCTATGCCTCTGAAGGACTTCGAAACGTTTATACTAGTAATTATTGCAAACACAATAAATAAGAAAGCTATAATGAGCATAAGTAATTAACACGAAAACCGTTGTGTGGCGTATAAAATAATGGCAATCACCTTTAATCACATTTTTCGACAATCATGCCGAATTTTATTGGTAATTATCATATTTCTACTTTTAGGTGATTGCGATTCACCAATGCATCAATTAGAGCTCATCTACAAAGAAATACTACATGAGGATATTAAAGACATTTTCTACAGTTTTATGAAAATTTAATCCTTTCATAGAATTTTCTAAATTTTTTGTATGATATGTAAAATTTAATGGCGAATTCAAAGATAAAAAGAAAAATATATGTTTGAAGTATTGGATTTCTTTGTAAAATGGCAGTTTCCATGGTAACCGTATATCTCAAAACTGTCAAAATAGCCAAACTGTGTTATAGACAAATAGAAAATGTATAAGATAGCTTTAATACACACAACAAGCATTGTTTATGCAACAATAACCTTATCTAATGATTCTGCATGAAACAAATGATAATCTGAACAAATTTCTTTAAAAAATGAATTTTCCATGTTCCTTAACCGAACAAAAAATGAGAAAAATAAACATGAATTATGTGAATAATTAAAGATATTGAAAAATTCCTGTCATAGGATTTTCTATTTTTTTTGTATGTTGTGTAAAATTTAATGACGAATTCAAAAATAAAAAGAAAAATACATGTCGACGTGTTGGATTTTTTGAAAAATGGCAGTTTCCATGGTAACCGTACATCTCAAAACTGTCAAAATAGCCAAAATGTGTTATAAAAATGTATTAGACAGCTTATTACACAAACAATAAACATAATTTTACACAAAGCTTGCTTTATTTTAGGGTTCTGTATAAAATTAACGATAATTGGAACATATTTCTTTAAAAAAAGAGTTTTTCATGCTTTTGAACTAAACAAAAATTGAGAAAAATAAACATGAATTCTGTAAAAAAATTAAAGCTTTCAAGAAATTTCTATCAAAGAATTTTCTACAATTTTGATATATCAAGTAAAATTTTATGGTGGATTAAAAAATAGAAATAAAAATATATGTTGACGTGTTAGTTTTTTTGTAAACGGGCAGCGTCCATGGTTACCGTATATGCCAATTGTCAAAATAACCATGCTTTCTTTAGAAATATCAGTGTTATACTAAATGTATTGTTATATATACAACAAAAACATGTTGTAATAAAAATTTCTTTTTCTTTTGATGTTATATTAAGTAAATGATACTCGATTTGTTTTTAAAACAGGTTATATAGGGCCATATTATTTTTTCACTCGACTAAAATACCCGAACAGTAAGCAAGTATTTAGAAATTAACAAAGAAAATAATGAAATTCGGAACATTTCTTCGATATTATTTTTTGTTTTTTATTCAACACTTATAAATATATCATTTTAAACTGCTTTGCCCAGTTGTCTGCCAGTAATCAAGTGGCGTCGCACTTTCGTCACTATACCACAAGTGGGTGGGGTAACGCGCGCCGAATCATCATCAATGCTGACGTACTAATGCTAGGAGAAATATTTTATCTGATGTTGTCTAAGCGAGCTCTTATTCTTTTGAACCGATCTCCTCCTGAACATTTAGAAATATCTATTCTGTATTATTTACTCATTATTTGCTTATAGCCTAAATTTAAACACTTATCCGAATACTATTCAACTTGACCTTCTTTTTGAAGAGTAATTATCCGTGATTATCTTTCTTGGAAGCGCATAACGATGCGCACAAAAAACTACCGAAAACGTCTTTAAACAAGATCACTAAGTGATGTGTGCAATAAAAATTTCATGTGTTAACTGCAATGATTATTTGACTCGTTTGATCAAAATATAGTTTGACATGACATCATTTGCACTGAACATTAAGACACGTAGAATATTAGCGTTACACTATAAGAAATTCTTTTTTCAGTAAACAATTCTTATTTTGGATATGTGATCAATAGTATACTATATTCGTGTAGCGTCATTACTAAATTTAATAAACTCGTTAAATAAAACAATTTATAACATACTTTGCAGTAGAATGATGATGATGTGATGACGTCACGAAGAAGACCGCATGACGTTACGCGACTAAACAAGTAAAAATAACTTAAAATCTCTAAAAACATGAAATAAGTAGAAAATGTGTTTGTTTGCTCGTGAACACCAGCTAGTTTATTTTCAGTCGTAGCTACACCACTCGTGCAAATATTGCATCCTGTCTTCACTCCGTAAAATATATTTCGATCTTACATGTCATGCTCGCCCAAGGATCGCATAATATAATTTTCATTCCACTTGTTCGTATAGAATCTGCACTCATTCAGTATCCTATATAAAACGCAAGAAAAATTAATATTTACGAGTACTTTTATTCTAACATGTTATGGAAAAGAGAATTAAGAGAAATGTTGAACAACATTTAGCAATTTTCCTGACTTCACTTTGTAATATGACGTGTTAACATTCCTTTATATCCTATTCATAATACATTGCCACTTTTGCTTGTTAAAAGGAATAGTGTGTTATTTTACATATCACATGCCAAGAAAAGAACCATTTATCAGTTGAAACAATAGTTTTTTTCAAATTGACGCACCTATACTTGTGTTTTCACGCTAAAACATTTTCCGCCCTTTACGCCATGTTTGTGTAACGCAAATGCCCCTCGCGTCAAAATACGTATATGCACGGCCGTGGGGCATTCAATTTTTTAAGAAGTCGCAAAAGCAGCACGGGTCACAACCACAAAATGCACTAAAAAATCATTTTGATGACCAACCTTTTATTACAGAAATACGATAATGTCAACAAGGCAAAGTTAACTTAATTTTGAAAGGGTTCCCATTAATAAGAAGGTCCTGTTAATTAACAAATTCCTGACATTTAAAACATGCTATAAATAAGTGTTAACATCAGACTGACCTGTCATTCATATTATCAAAACAAAGCGTAAGGACATATAAGAATTGTGGACACATTAAAAAATCACTGTTTCAAATAAAAGAGATGGACAAAATTTTGAATTTTATTCTTTTCATCCTTATCACCAAGACTTGTGCCGGCGGTAAGTAATTTTATACGGTATTATTCTCCTTTTCAGATTAGTCACGCGTGTATCCTTATTATTATAAACATTTCATAATAAAATGTTTTAAAACAACTAGTAAATATCTTATTTTAGAGGAAATAAATAAAAATAAATCAAAGTGGATTTTCCCCATTAAAATTTCGGAAATAAAAATGAATATTTTTGGGTTTTAAAAACCCAAATATATTTTTTTTAAACAAAAAAAATAAAAACTTGGGAAATTTTTGAACAATCTTTGTATCAAAGTTAAAACTCCGTTTTCTTTTAATCATATTATAGTAAATCTATAGAGAAATAATAATTTACATGTATATCCTGTCGGCAAACTATTATATATACCACAAGTTTTGCCTCACATGTATCGGAAACGAAATAGTTTCGGTAAATGAATTTTTTTCAGGGGACTGTAATGCATGAAACATATGCTCATATTTGTAATTATTGTTATTGGCGTTTTTAGAGAGAAACATATGATATGCTAAGCTTTTACTAAAAAATAGTTCAATAATTATTAACAAAAGAAATGCCGGGCTTTAATTCATCGTGTATGATTTTTTTACAGATAACGAGGATGTCCATCCAGTAATTTGAGAAATCCAATGTGTAAAATGTAAACTGGTCAAGCAAAGGCGACGAACGCAGTCTTACCTTGCCCCTTGAAAAAACCCGTGTACATCGCAAGTATATTAAGGTTTAAGTATAGCATCAAGGAAAACATTTT